TCATGATACTTCACAGTTGTCTTTCGTTGATCATGATAAGATGAGGGGAATGCCTACTACTGCTAAGTTGAACAGAGGTTCTGTACAACTTGAACGTGAAGCAGAATTAAATGCAGATGCAGTTGCAGAAGGCATGCATACTTGTGAGACCGTCAGTGTGAGTGATCAGCGTGTAGCCCACCTATCATCAGATGATAGTGCTAAACCTGAGCTGATAGTAAAAGACAGCAGTGGTGGTAATCTTGCAGTTAGACAACTTTCTGAGAGCCGAACAGCATCAGCTTTTCATCCACCGCTAACTTCATCAACTGTTATCAATCAGTCGTCGTTTGTGTTGTCATCCACAATGAGAAAGACGCCCATCAACTCAAGTATCTTGTGCAATGACTATGCTAGTATCAGTTCGTTTGAAAGGACGAATATCAATGGTCAGTTTAGTGAGGATAAGCCAAGTGTAAACGAGAGAGTAACTGTTAAATTGACTTGCATGAATAAAGGCATTTCTAGTTTCAAGTTACTATTTGAATGCTATTATCTTTGGTGTAAATTACTCTGTTTCTACGCTTGGTTGACCAGATACGTCGTGTGTCTGTTCGTCATCTATGTTCTACGATACAATGACATGAGCGTGTTACAGTTCAGATTTGAGGATATAGCTGATAGAAGGAAGTCAGGAAATGAACTCTGCAACGATTTTCCAACCTAGGGCGTCAACCTGAGAAGGGTTGTAGGCGTATTGCTGTAAGTCCTACAATTCTTCAAAGGGAAGCGCATCGATGAGCAGTGCAATGTGCTTGGTGTGTGATTTTGTACATGTGTTTATATTGTATATACTGAATTGATATCAACTATCATCTAGCTGTTGGTAATTCTGTTTGTGTCCGGACGACTTCCACTTGGATCATCAACCTGAGAAGGAATGTAGGCGTACTGCTGTAAGTCCTACAGTTCTTCAAGGGTAGTTTGTCGTGTCAGAATCCACAACATTTGATGTAGTGATTGTACTTATGTTTGTGTTAAATAATTGTGTGATTTCCAATTGATGTAATTGTTGGTTAATCTTGTGTGTGTCCGGACATTGCACAAATTACAATGGTCAACCTGTGAAGGGTTGTAGGCGTACTGGTGTTAGCCCTGCGATTCTTCAAAGGAATTCCATCAAGATTTGATCCGCGAGTTTGTGTGTACTGTTTGTATATATGTGTGGTGTGTCATATGTATTGGTGTTTTTTGGATTCATTGTGTTTACTCGTTGTTTTCGTACCTTGTTGTTATTGCGTAATTTTGTTAAAATTTTCGTCGTGATTACTTCTGAAGTTGTTTCGAGTCTTCTACATCCGTGAATGAATTGACTGATGTTAGAGACAGCAGATGGGGCGTATACGCCGGGGAGGCTATTGCTGAGAATGAAATACATACGGAGATAATTGTTAGCTGCGGTCCGACACGCCGGGGAGAAAGAGTGTAAACGACTGAGGCTCGCATGCGTCACCGTTACTAGAAGTGAGGCAGAATGAGTGACAAGCGATTGCAGTGGTAATTGGTAGTGAGTAGATAAGAGGATGTGCGTAGAGTATCGTGAGTTGGTGCTATGGTCACGTTGCATTCTGCAAGAGTCATTCTAGCAAGTGGCGATTGTGTTGCAAGATGTCAAGTGGAGGTCTCTGTCTGGAGGCGCAGGTCGTCAGCGATGTGTGAGATTGTGCTGTGAGTATGCTTGTGGTGTGTTGGCTTTTCTGTTTGTTTTCCATTTCAGCTCTGTCCGTGTGACCCAGGTTCTCACAATGGCATCCAAGTCAACGTGCATTGGTCGTGATGGAAAAAAGGGATGGATCCGTTTTTGCCGGGGAGTGTCAATGGAGTTGAAGATTGAACGATCAATTCATGGTTGTTTGCTCAAAACCAACTTCCCCAATTTTCGCGGAGGCATCAATACGACAGTCATCGTCTCATCGGTCGCTGTCAGAAAGAAGTCAGCAGAAAACCGTCAGAAACCTTAGTTGTAACAGTGTTTATATGTTGGTGTTACAATAAAGAATTCTCGAGCGGCCAATCGGTGTTTTGGTTTTTGCGTCCGTTATTACTAAGCGTTTCTGAGAAACTTCAAGGAACAGCGTGAGCCCGAGGGTAGCAAGAGCTGTGCATTGACGTTTTACGAGACGTGGGCGACAACTATACTGTTCTGCTAAATCTTTCTTCACTATTCACAATGCGTATTCGTTTCACTCTTTAAGGTTTTAACTTCTTATAATGTAATCTGTTCACTAGGATGCATGCACACATATATAATATGTTCATAATGATGTACGTGGAGACCTATTTGAAGCACTCATTAAGAAAGCTAGGGAGATGGAATATGGGGTACGAACTTGTCTGGTACCAAGCAATATATTTGCGGTAGCCATAATAATCACAGTCTTAGAGCCTAACATCAAAAACGAAGAAAATTAATATATATCTAATTAAAAGGTGGAAATGGTTACAACAAGTGGATTGCACAATGCGTAATTTTGGAAAAATGAAGAGCAATTAAGGAATAAGCGTGTGCACAGGTTGATACCTCAGTGACAGATTGTTAAAGAAAATAAAACAATTTGGACAATGATAGTTTGTAACTAAAGTTTAAGTGGTAATAAGAATAAAATAATTTTTACAAGGATAACACGTAATTAAAGATGAAGTAGTCAGAAAAATAAAATAATTTGGACAATTATAGTTTTTTAAAAAGAAAAATTATTCTAGGGGGAGGGTGATGGAGTAGTCCGGTTTATGCAGTCATGTAACGATGGCCAAGGTAAGGAAAGTGGCTGTACAAATTTCTTCTGGACACACAAGTTTGGCTTCTTCAGGTGGATTCCTATTGCTCGTAGCTCTATTTTAGCCCACCTTGTAGATAGTGAGCATAAGGCTGATGTTAATACTGCATTTAAAATTATTTATCGCATTCCTACTAATCTTAATTTTGCTTTACGAGTTCGTCTTCTACATACAGCTGAAGCAATAGGAATCCACCTGAAGAAGCCAAACTTGTGTGTCCAGAAGAAATTTGTACAGCCACTTTCCTTACCTTGGCCATCGTTACATGACTGCATAAACCGGACTACTCCATCACCCTCCCCCTAGAATAATTTTTCTTTTTAAAAACTATAATTGTCCAAATTATTTTATTTTTCTGACTACTTCATCTTTAATTACGTGTTATCCTTGTAAAAATTATTTTATTCTTATGACCACTTAAACTTTAGTTACAAACTATCATTGTCCAAATTGTTTTATTTTCTTTAACAATCTGTCACTGAGGTATCAACCTGTGCACACGCTTATTCCTTAATTGCTCTTCATTTTTCCAAAATTACGCATTGTGCAATCCACTTGTTGTAACCATTTCCACCTTTTAATTAGATATATATTAATTTTCTTCGTTAATTATCACTCCATTGACATTTTGACACTGACTAATTATTGTTAACAAACATATCAGTGCCACTTGATGATTGGTAAATTGTTGTGTATTGTAATAAAATGCTATGTGAGTGTGATAGAGTAGAGCCAGAGTGAGATGAGGATCTAATTGAAAAGTGAATATTTCTTCGCTCAATCTTTCTGTTTTCTAAACGTCTAAATGGGGATTTTTTTCTATATTGAATTCATGCGTTATTATTCAGGGATTCCTTGAGTTGCGAATGGAGATTACATTTTCAATGATAAATCCTTGTTACATTAAATTTGTAACGGTAGCTGATTCCCCAGAATTATTAGGCACAGCACTCATCACTGAACATTGGATGCTGACCCTCACTGTTTAAATTGTTTAGCTGAAGTCTTCCGTTTAAGCATCCACGCCATTTGGTACGCCATCGTGTCACGTTCTTTCGTCCGTGCACGATTCTTAACTAGTTAGGCAATCATCTCGCACTCTGATTTCGTCTCGAAATATGATTGGTAATTTGGACGATCATTTCAGGTGTTTTGCTTTGTCTTTGGTTTACGCGAAACGAATACTATAGAAGTTGTGGATATTAGATCTTGCGTTATTATGCGGTGAGAGCAGACTGCTAGCCAATTGGTAGACATTAATCTACGCCAATGTCTAGGTCACTAATATGGGCCATGAGAAAATATGAGCAAGGCTGATTCAACAACCAATCACAGCAGACTTAACGTGGGCAAATATGATTCGCAGATAGATGGCTCTACTTTTCGATGGTGACCCGAAACAACCAATCAGAAGCCAGCGTTTGTCTGCTTAACTTCTGAGAAACAACCAATCAGAAGACTACGTTTGAATAAGCTTGAATAAGCTATAACAATGTATGTGAAATATATATAAATACGTGTTGATTTCCGTAATAAAACGATCTGTTGCCGGCCGTTGTCTTCTGTTGTTACAATTATAATAAATCGTACTATCCGTGAAGGTTGATACTCAAAGCCTCTAAAAACTCTATGCCAATACCTCCTACTGTAACAACAGAAGACAAGGGCCAGGCAACAGATCGTTTTATTATGAAAATCAACACGTATTTATACATATTTCACATAGATTATTATAGCTTATGCAAGTAGACAAGCGCAGTCATCTGATTGGTTGTTTATCAGAAGTTAGGCAGACAAACGCAGGTTTCTGATTGGTTGTTTCGGGATTCCTCGACAAATAGAGTTCTCTATCTGCGAATCATATTTTGCCACGTTAACTCTGCTGTGATTGGTTGTTGAATCAGCCTTGCTCATATTTTCTCACGGCCTGCTCTCACCACACTTATAATATGAAGCGCCTACATTGGTTACTTTAATAATTCCTTTATTTTGTTGTAAATTCATTGCAATGCTCCGAGTTTTGATAACTGTTCTCTGGAATTGAATATCTTATTCCGTAATGGAAACTCCAGTCAGGTCTTTCAAGCTAGCTCATCTCCGTTGTCTTCATTTCGTCAAGCGACTTAGTTTTCTGCTTAGTATATTGCATTGAATATTTGCAAAGATCCAAATAAGCAACACAGATGAGTCTTGCTAAGAGGAAAAATGCTATTCCGAATGTAACGGGAAACCACCAGATGAGGAGTTGGAGGGAACTGGCTGAAGCTGATGATCTCGCTTCTGCCCTCACTGTTGATCCTTATCTTGGCTTTACTACCCATAAAATGACAGATATGAGGTTAAAAATTCCAGAAAGAATCAAAAGGAAGTTTTGTGATATCATATCTGCCTTTCGGAAAAATAAGTGTTACGATACAGCTTTCAACCAGCTGACTGCCGATCCAAACATAGTGAAACGGTCTTGGAGTATTGACCCTCGTTTCAAGGAACATATCAATCGATACTTGTTATTATTTGATGATCGTTCTGGCATTGAAATTCGACCTTGTTGGCGCTACGCATCAGAAAATCATATGGGAGCCGCAATATATGCCACAAAAGATTGGGCGAAAGGGTCTCGTATTAGTACTTTGGTGGGATGCATCGCTAAACTCAAGCATCATGAAGAGGCTACATTCCTTAAGCAACACAAAAATGACTTTTCAGTCATGTATTCTTCTAGAAAAAACTGTTCCCAATTATGGTTAGGTCCTGCAGCTTATGTTAATCATGACTGTCGACCTAACTGTGAGTTCACAACTAACTGTGATGCTGACGCTCGTATGAGCTTACAGGCTATAACCGATATCAAGTCGGGTGATGAGATTTTCATCTACTATGGGACAAACTTTTTCGACACAAATAATGCAGCTTGCGAGTGTTTTACATGTGAATTATTAGGTCGTGGATATTTCAGCAAATTTAACCAAAGTGTGGATATGACAAATCCTACTAATGAATTATCATCTCCAAATACTATCTCTGACCAGAGGACTCATCCAAAAAATATTGTACCAGCATTTCATAATACTCTTAACATTTCTACTGATCATAATCAAATTCTGCGTGATAGAATAAATTCAGTACCAAATAATTCTCACTTTGTCAAGTGGGTTGGTTCTCAAGTCACTAAGTCTTTATCATTGGATTTCTTCCTGAAGAAGGGATCTTCAACTGGTTTGGCTTGTAAAGCATTGCCTAATGCATATTCCTTACGGCATACCAGCTATCGTTTAAATCGTGTTAAAGCTCGACTTATTGCTGCAACCATAGCTTCTGTAAACAAATCACCTTATTCGATTAGTCATGAGAACAGGACTCCGAGGATTATTTCCCCTTATAAAAAGTGCATGTTAAGAAAAACTATTAAGAAAAGCGTTTCATCTTGCCTACAAAATGAATCAAATTTGCATTCATGTGACAGTGAGCGAAGAAAGCTAAGCAATGCATTATCATCTGTCGTAAAAAGACGAAGATAATTATTACGGAATAGTCATATATCTGAACAACGAAGTTTTACTCCCAAGAGTACTGTTAAAGTCCCTGTTTCCAATGACACAGCAGTTTGTGACAGAATAGCATGGCAAGAATCAGATGGAACTAGCAGTGGATTAGGATACAGTGTTCATAACGATTGCAGTAGTGCTTCAAATAGCCCATTACCACCTTTATTGGATCGTATGCCATCAACTTCACCAAATAATTCCTTCAGTGATTCAACTGTTACACCTGCTCTTGGATCACCCTATTATTGTGATTCAGTAACACAAATGTTCTCTAATGATAATGATAGCAATATTGGCAATGACAACAGTAAGAAAACTGTTACATCAGATCATGGATCTCCGGGTTTTACTTCTCCGTTAACTGAAATGTACAGTAATAATAATAGCAACAATAATGTTAATGAGCATAATAAGAAAACTGTTACGCCTGATCTTGGATCGTCCGATTGTATTCATCTGTTAACCCAAATGTGCAGTATTGATATTAATGACGTTAATGATGCCAATATTGACAATAACAGCAATAGGAACTCCCATCCAAATTTGACCATCAGATCCACACCTAATTCGTTTCTTCTCAATCAGATTGCACTTGAAGTCCTGTCTAGCCGGTGATGTCAACTTCATGGATTGATGTTGTGCTTCTGATTATTATTGACTTTTTTTGAGTTCTTTCCTAACCCGATCTTATGTTGACGAAGAGAGTGAAGACTTAGTATGCCTAATATGCGCCCTTGTCACTTCAGTCGAAACAAAGCAACACTATATATGTAATCAAGCATATATGAGACGATATATTTAATTATAAAAATGCTATTATTACTAATAATAATGATATTATTATTATTATACCAATTTTCTTCGTTAATTATCACTCCATTGACATTTTGACACTGACTAATTATTGTTAACAAACATATCAGTGCCACTTGATGATTGGTAAATTGTTGTGTATTGTAATAAAATGCTATGTGAGTGTGATAGAGTAGAGCCAGAGTGAGATGAGGATCTAATTGAAAAGTGAATATTTCTTCGCTCAATCTTTCTGTTTTCTAAACGTCTAAATGGGGATTTTTTTCTATATTGAATTCATGCGTTATTATTCAGGGATTCCTTGAGTTGCGAATGGAGATTACATTTTCAATGATAAATCCTTGTTACATTAAATTTGTAACGGTAGCTGATTCCCCAGAATTATTAGGCACAGCACTCATCACTGAACATTGGATGCTGACCCTCACTGTTTAAATTGTTTAGCTGAAGTCTTCCGTTTAAGCATCCACGCCATTTGGTACGCCATCGTGTCACGTTCTTTCGTCCGTGCACGATTCTTAACTAGTTAGGCAATCATCTCGCACTCTGATTTCGTCTCGAAATATGATTGGTAATTTGGACGATCATTTCTGGTGTTTTGCTTTGTCTTTGGTTTACGCAAAACGAATACTATAGAAGTTGTGGATATTAGATCTTGCGTTATTATGCGGTGAGAGCAGACTGCTAGCCAATTGGTAGACATTAATCTACGCCAATGTCACTCCATGCTCCACTTTCATTTCATATGGGCTAAGAATTCGATAAATGTATTTTGAGAGTTTGTATGTTGGAGAGTTAGTAAAATCCACTACTGGACGTAATGGTACTTCTGGTTTGTGTATTTTTGGTAACCCATAAAATCTACAGGGGCTGCAACTTTTTGGAGCCAGAGTAAACCAAAGTGATACACCGAGCTTTTCTTTTATTGACTGTAGCATTTTGCTTGTTTCAGCCTTCAGCTTATTTAATGTCGCTCTTGACTTATTCGCGTTGAATTTTTCATAAGGTCCATCATTAAGATGATCAATGGCCTTCTTTTCGTAATCTGCAGAGTTCATGACAACTGTGATATTGCCTTTTATCTGCTCTTGTAATTACAATTGACTTATCTTGCTGTAGTTGTCTTAATGCCATTTGCTCTTTTTTATTTATATTCGGCGCATTTGGCTTCTGGTTCAGTAGTACTGCTGCAATTTTGTGCCTAATGACGTTTGCCTCTTCGGCTGTCACTGACTTTAACGATGGTTCAATTGCTGGGACTACTTCAAAGGCTGATAAACGCCTTTTGTTTAAATTGAAATTAAGTCCCTTTTTAAGGAGGGATAGTTCATCATCTGATAAATTTCTGTCAGAGAGATTGACCACCACTTTGTTCGCATCCAGACAGTTACGACTAGACGGATTTTCAAATTGATGGTTTTTAGGATTATTGCTTAATTGAAGCAACCTGTCGAACTTTCTGATTTGTCTTCTTTGTGAAGATTGAAGATAAAATTCTTCTTTAAATTTAAAAATGTTATCAATGAGAGACTTCAAATCTGATGTGACTAAGACAGATAAGATTTCATCTAAATTGGACATTCGAATAGGAAATAATTGCATATTTTTGGTTGCTCTGTGGACGCGTTCTCGTACAAACGTTCTAGTTGCGGAAAGAGCTGCTTTAATTGATCTGCTAGAGTTATCAGGTGATTTGACAGCTATGGATTTAGGATAGATATTCTGTTGCAGACAACGGAGATTGAAAATAAGATGATTGTACCAGTTACACATTTTCTTTGTCAGTTTAATACGATTGCAAAATAATTCATATGAACTGTGATCAAGATTTGATCGGATAGTTGCAAAATAATTGAGCGCTGAGTGAGAAGTAGACATTTATAAAGTTATATTTGTAAAATCTCAGCGAAATTGAAATGATTAATTCCAACGTTTCGTTCGGCAATCTGGTCCGAGCTTCTTCAGGGAAATTAATCGAAATTAACATAACAAAGTTTATATATAAAGGGACACATCTTGTTTTTAAAATTCTTGTCCAATCATGAATCATGCAACAGGTATCAACATGTATCATATATAAATAAATAGAATTGTATGTTTATACAAAAGTACAATAGTACAATCAATAGGTATGCTAAACAAAACAAAACAAAAATTGTATGAACTATGATCAAAAACTTTTTGACCTCAGGCTTTCAAAATTTGTCTACTTTTGTTAAAATATGTGTGTATGCAGTATATGCAGGATACAATGGTGTGTGTATGTGTGTGTGTGTGTGTGTGTGGGTTGGGTGGAACAGTCATCAAACATTTGCTATTCTCATATGAGCTGTGATCAAGATTTGACCGGATAGTTGCAAATAATTGACATTTTTATAAATATAATTTAATTTTTTATAGCTTTGTTATTCTCTCCATAAGAAGACGTAGACAGTCGGGAATTTGACTAAGTGTGACTACTTGATCATACATATCAAATTTTACTTTGTTTATTAGTCAGGATTTGCCATGCATCGGCTAAGATCACACCTTCACGTCTGTTAAACTGTTGGGATTCACCCATATATGTAGGGCTTCTGCAGTTAATCTTTCTTGATATGAACCAAAACCTTTTTGTAAAACCTTAGTCTTATCAAAGTCGATTTTGTGTCCCGTTTCTATTGAATGTAGCGCAATCGCTGAGTTGTTTTCTAGCTTCTTCAAGTCTGCAGAGCTCTTTGGAACCACCTTTAGACATTGTTTATGCTCTTTCATTCTTATATTTACCTGTCTAGAAGTTTCTCCTACATATACTGCGTTACAATCCCCACAATTGATCTGGTATACGCAATTCTGCTGGTTTTCTTGTTCTATTTTATCCTTAACCTTCACCAGCAATGAACGTAAGGTGTTAGATGCACGAAAGTACACTCTTATGTTATGTTCGTTAAGGATTCGCTTTATTTCATCGGACGTTTCTTTGCGGTAAGGAACCACCGCTGTACTAACCCAATTCTTCGCAGCAGGTTTTGATTTATCCTTATCTTCACATTTTAAGTATCTTTTTATGAAGGCTTTAGGATAATTATTTGACTCAAGAGTGGATTGGACCAATTTCAGTTCCTCGTTAATATCTTCCTCCTCAGTAACTAGACGTTTGGCTCTGTTGATCAGATTCTTGGCCACAGTTACTTTGGTGGTAAATGGGTGAGCTGAATGCTAATCTAGGTATCTATCCGAATTTGTCGGCTTTCTGAAAATGTTTATTTTAAATTTTCCGTCTAATTTTCTTTTTACTAAACAGTCCAGAAACGCCAACTCATTTTCATCGGATTCAACCTCTTTGGAGAACTTGATGGTTTCTGACATATTGTTTATTAACTGAAAAAGTTCATTTAACAATCTACGTTTGGTTATGATGAAGGTATCATCTACGTATCTTAACCACACCTTTGGGGGACTAAGGCATCTCATAATTGCATTTGTTTCTAATGAGTGCATAAACAGATTGGCGACTAGCGGAGATACTGGTGATCCCATAGCAATGCCTCCTATTTGACGATAAAGAACCCCTCTGAACGTAAATAACGTGGATTTAAGACACAGTTCTAATACCTTCATAATTTCGTCGGGATTTAAAGGACAACGATCACTGAGTTCGTCGTCAGCACAAAGTAAATTATAAATAATACTTAAAGAATCATTAACGGGTACATTCGTGAATAATGAATAAACATCGAAACTTGCCATTATTTCATCTTCTTCAATATTAGTCAAATTTATTTTCCTCTTAAATTCATACGAATTTTTCACTCCATGCTCCACTTTCATTTCATATGGGCTAAGAATTCGATAAATGTATTTTGAGAGTTTGTATGTTGGAGAGTTAGTAAAATCCACTACTGGACGTAATGGTACTTCTGGTTTGTGTATTTTTGGTAACCCATAAAATCTACAGGGGCTGCAACTTTTTGGAGCCAGAGTAAACCAAAGTGATACACCGAGCTTTTCTTTTATTGACTGTAGCATTTTGCTTGTTTCAGCCTTCAGCTTATTTAATGTCGCTCTTGACTTATTCGCGTTGAATTTTTCATAAGGTCCATCATTAAGATGATCAATGGCCTTCTTTTCGTAATCTGCAGAGTTCATGACAACTGTGATATTGCCTTTTATCTGCTCTTGTAATTACAATTGACTTATCTTGCTGTAGTTGTCTTAATGCCATTTGCTCTTTTTTATTTATATTCGGCGCATTTGGCTTCTGGTTCAGTAGTACTGCTGCAATTTTGTGCCTAATGACGTTTGCCTCTTCGGCTGTCACTGACTTTAACGATGGTTCAATTGCTGGGACTACTTCAAAGGCTGATAAACGCCTTTTGTTTAAATTGAAATTAAGTCCCTTTTTAAGGAGGGATAGTTCATCATCTGATAAATTTCTGTCAGAGAGATTGACCACCACTTTGTTCGCATCCAGACAGTTACGACTAGACGGATTTTCAAATTGATGGTTTTTAGGATTATTGCTTAATTGAAGCAACCTGTCGAACTTTCTGATTTGTCTTCTTTGTGAAGATTGAAGATAAAATTCTTCTTTAAATTTAAAAATGTTATCAATGAGAGACTTCAAATCTGATGTGACTAAGACAGATAAGATTTCATCTAAATTGGACATTCGAATAGGAAATAATTGCATATTTTTGGTTGCTCTGTGGACGCGTTCTCGTACAAACGTTCTAGTTGCGGAAAGAGCTGCTTTAATTGATCTGCTAGAGTTATCAGGTGATTTGACAGCTATGGATTTAGGATAGATATTCTGTTGCAGACAACGGAGATTGAAAATAAGATGATTGTACCAGTTACACATTTTCTTTGTCAGTTTAATACGATTGCAAAATAATTCATATGAACTGTGATCAAGATTTGATCGGATAGTTGCAAAATAATTGAGCGCTGAGTGAGAAGTAGACATTTATAAAGTTATATTTGTAAAATCTCAGCGAAATTGAAATGATTAATTCCAACGTTTCGTTCGGCAATCTGGTCCGAGCTTCTTCAGGGAAATTAATCGAAATTAACATAACAAAGTTTATATATAAAGGGACACATCTTGTTTTTAAAATTCTTGTCCAATCATGAATCATGCAACAGGTATCAACATGTATCATATATAAATAAATAGAATTGTATGTTTATACAAAAGTACAATAGTACAATCAATAGGTATGCTAAACAAAACAAAACAAAAATTGTATGAACTATGATCAAAAACGTTTTGACCTCAGGCTTTCAAAATTTGTCTACTTTTGTTAAAATATGTGTGTATGCAGTATATGCAGGATACAATGGTGTGTGTATGTGTGTGTGTGTGTGTGTGTGGGTTGGGTGGAACAGTCATCAAACATTTGCTATTCTCATATGAGCTGTGATCAAGATTTGACCGGATAGTTGCAAATAATTGACATTTTTATAAATATAATTTAATTTTTTATAGCTTTGTTATTCTCTCCATAAGAAGACGTAGACAGTCGGGAATTTGACTAAGTGTGACTACTTGATCATACATATCAAATTTTACTTTGTTTATTAGTCAGGATTTGCCATGCATCGGCTAAGATCACACCTTCACGTCTGTTAAACTGTTGGGATTCACCCATATATGTAAAGCTTCTGCAGTTACGAAAAATACACAAACCAGAATACCATTACGTCCAGTAGTGGATTTTACTAACTCTCCAACATACAAACTCTCAAAATACATTTATCGAATTCTTAGCCCATATGAAATGAAAGTGGAGCATGGAGTGAAAAATTCGTATGAATTTAAGAGGAAAATAAATTTGACTAATATTGAAGAAGATGAAATAATGGCAAGTTTCGATGTTTATTCATTATTCACGAATGTACCCGTTAATGATTCTTTAAGTATTATTTATAATTTACTTTGTGCTGACGACGAACTCAGTGATCGTTGTCCTTTAAATCCCGACGAAATTATGAAGGTATTAGAACTGTGTCTTAAATCCACGTTATTTACGTTCAGAGGGGTTCTTTATCGTCAAATAGGAGGCATTGCTATGGGATCACCAGTATCTCCGCTAGTCGCCAATCTGTTTATGCACTCATTAGAAACAAATGCAATTATGAGATGCCTTAGTCCCCCAAAGGTGTGGTTAAGATACGTAGATGATACCTTCATCATAACCAAACGTAGATTGTTAAATGAACTTTTTCAGTTAATAAACAATATGTCAGAAACCATCAAGTTCTCCAAAGAGGTTGAATCCGATGAAAATGAGTTGGCGTTTCTGGACTGTTTAGTAAAAAGAAAATTAGACGGAAAATTTAAAATAAACATTTTCAGAAAGCCGACAAATTCGGATAGATACCTAGATTAGCATTCAGCTCACCCATTTACCACCAAAGTAACTGTGGCCAAGAATCTGATCAACAGAGCCAAACGTCTAGTTACTGAGGAGGAAGATATTAACGAGGAACTGAAATTGGTCCAATCCACTCTTGAGTCAAATAATTATCCTAAAGCCTTCATAAAAAGATACTTAAAATGTGAAGATAAGGATAAATCAAAACCTGCTGCGAAGAATTGGGTTAGTACAGCGGTGGTTCCTTACCGCAAAGAAACGTCCGATGAAATAAAGCGAATCCTTAACGAACATAACATAAGAGTGTACTTTCGTGCATCTAACACCTTACGTTCATTGCTGGTGAAGGTTAAGGATAAAATAGAACAAGAAAACCAGCAGAATTGCGTATACCAGATCAATTGTGGGGATTGTAACGCAGTATATGTAGGAGAAACTTCTAGACAGGTAAATATAAGAATGAAAGAGCATAAACAATGTCTAAAGGTGGTTCCAAAGAGCTCTGCAGACTTGAAGAAGCTAGAAAACAACTCAGCGATTGCGCTACATTCAATAGAAACGGGACACAAAATCGACTTTGATAAGACTAAGGTTTTACAAAAAGGTTTTGGTTGATATCAAGAAAGATTAACTGCAGAAGCCCTACATATATGGGTGAATCCCAACAGTTTAACAGACGTGAAGGTGTGATCTTAGCCGATGCATGGCAAATCCTGACTAATAAACAAAGTAAAATTTGATATGTATGATCAAGTAGTCACACTTAGTCAAATTCCCGACTGTCTACGTCTTCTTATGGAGAGAATAACAAAGCTATAAAAAATTAAATTATATTTATAAAAATGTCAATTATTTGCAACTATCCGGTCAAATCTTGATCACAGCTCATATGAGAATAGCAAATGTTTGATGACTGTTCCACCCAACCCACACACACACACACACACACATACACACACCATTGTATCCTGCATATACTGCATACACACATATTTTAACAAAAGTAGACAAATTTTGAAAGCCTGAGGTCAAAACGTTTTTGATCATAGTTCATACAATTTTTGTTTTGTTTTGTTTAGCATACCTATTGATTGTACTATTGTACTTTTGTATAAACATACAATTCTATTTATTTATATATGATACATGTTGATACCTGTTGCATGATTCATGATTGGACAAGAATTTTAAAAACAAGATGTGTCCCTTTATATATAAACTTTGTTATGTTAATTTCGATTAATTTCCCTGAAGAAGCTCGGACCAGATTGCCGAACGAAACGTTGGAATTAATCATTTCAATTTCGCTGAGATTTTACAAATATAACTTTATAAATGTCTACTTCTCACTCAGCGCTCAATTATTTTGCAACTATCCGATCAAATCTTGATCACAGTTCATATGAATCATAGCAGACTTAACTTGGAAAATATGATTCGCAGATAGATGGCTCTACTTTTCGATGGTGACCCGAAACAACCAATCAGAAGCCAGCGTTTTTCTGCTTAACTTCTGAGAAACAACCAATCAGAAGTCTGTGTTTGAATAAGCTTGAATAAGCTATAACAATGTATGTGAAATATATATAAATACGTGTTGATTTCCGTAATAAAACGATCTGTTGCCGGCCGTTGTCTTCTGTTGTTACAATTATAATAAATCGTACCATCCGTGAAGGTTGATACTCAAAGCCTCTAAAAACTCTATGCCAATACCTCCTACTGTAACAACAGAAGACAAGGGCCAGGCAACAGATCGTTTTATTATGAAAATCAACACGTATTTATACATATTTCACATAGATTATTATAGCTTATGCAAGTAGACAAGCGCAGTCATCTGATTGGTTGTTTATCAGAAGTTAGGCAGACAAACGCAGGTTTCTGATTGGTTGTTTCGGGATTCCTCGACAAATAGAGTTCTCTATCTGCGAATCATATTTTGCCACGTTAACTCTGCTGTGATTGGTTGTTGAATCAGTCTTGCTCATATTTTCTCACGGCCTGCTCTCACCACACTTATAATATGAAGCGCCTACATTGGTTACTTTAATAATTCCTTTATTTTGTTGTAAATTCATTGCAATGCTCCGAGTTTTGATAACTGTTCTCTGGAATTGAATATCTTATTCCGTAATGGAAACTCCAGTCAGGTCTTTCAAGCTAGCTCATCTCCGTTGTCTTCATTTCGTCAAGCGACTTAGTTTTCTGCTTAGTATATTGCATTGAATATTTGCAAAGATCCAAATAAGCAACACAGATGAGTCTTGCTAAGAGGAAAAATGCTATTCCGAATGTAACGGGAAACCACCAGATGAGTTGGAGGGAACTGGCTGAAGCTGATGATCTCGCTTCTGCCCTCACTGTTGATCCTTATCTTGGCTTTACTACCCATAAAATGACAGATATGAGGTTAAAAATTCCAGAAAGAATCAAAAGGAAGTTTTGTGATATCATATCTGCCTTTCGGAAAAATAAGTGTTACGATACAGCTTTCAACCAGCTGACTGCCGATCCAAACATAGTGAAACGGTCTTGGAGTATTGACCCTCGTTTCAAGGAACATATCAATCGATACTTGTTATTATTTGATGATCGTTCTGGCATTGAAATTCGACCTTGTTGGCGCTACGCATCAGAAAATCATATGGGAGCCGCAATATATGCCACAAAAGATTGGGCGAAAGGGTCTCGTATTAGTACTTTGGTGGGATGCATCGCTAAACTCAAGCATCATGAAGAGGCTACATTCCTTAAGCAACACAAAAATGACTTTTCAGTCATGTATTCTTCTAGAAAAAACTGTTCCCAATTATGGTTAGGTCCTGCAGCTTATGTTAATCATGACTGTCGACCTAACTGTGAGTTCACAACTAACTGTGATGCTGACGCTCGTATGAGCTTACAGGCTATAACCGATATCAAGTCGGGTGATGAGATTTTCATCTACTATGGGACAAACTTTTTCGACACAAATAATGCAGCTTGCGAGTGTTTTACATGTGAATTATTAGGTCGTGGATATTTCAGCAAATTTAACCAAAGTGTGGATATGACAAATCCTACTAATGAATTATCATCTCCAAATACTATCTCTGACCAGAGGACTCATCCAAAAAATATTGTACCAGCATTTCATAATACTCTTAACATTTCTACTGATCATAATCAAATTCTGCGTGATAGAATAAATTCAGTACCAAATAATTCTCACTTTGTCAAGTGGGTTGGTTCTCAAGTCACTAAGTCTTTATCATTGGATTTCTTCCTGAAGAAGGGATCTTCAACTGGTTTGGCTTGTAAAGCATTGCCTAATGCATATTCCTTACGGCATACCAGCTATCGTTTAAATCGTGTTAAAGCTCGACTTATGGCTGCAACCATAGCTTCTGTAAACAAATCACCTTATTCGATTAGTCATGAGAACAGGACTCCGAGGATTATTTCCCCTTATAAAAAGTGCACGTTAAGAAAAACTATTAAGAAAAGCGTTTCATCTTGCCTACAAAATGAATCAAATTCGCATTCATGTGACAGTGAGCGAAGAAAGCTAAGCAATGCATTATCATCTGTCGTAAAAAGACGAAGATAATTATTACGGAATAGTCATATATCTGAACAACGAAGTTTTACTCCCAAGAGTACTGTTAAAGTCCCTGTTTCATCAGATTGCACTTGAAGTCCTGTCTAGCCGGTGATGTCAACTTCATGGATAGATGTTGTGCTTCTGATTATTATTGACTTTTTTTGAGTTCTTTCCTAACCCGATCTTATGTTGACGAAGAGAGTGAAGACTTAGTATGCCTAATATGCGCCCTTGTCACTTCAGTCGAAACAAAGCAACACTATATATGTAATCAAGCATATATGAGACGATATATTAAATTATAAAAATGCTATTATTACCAATAATAATGATATTATTATTATACCAATTTTCTTCGTTAATTATCACTCCATTGACATTTTGACACTGACTAATTATTGTTAACAAACATATCAGTGCCACTTGATGATTGGTAAATTGTTGTGTATTGTAATAAAATGCTATGTGAGTGTGATAGAGTAGAGCCAGAGTGAGATGAGGATCTAATTGAAAAGTGAATATTTCTTCGCTCAATCTTTCTGTTTTCTAAACGTCTAAATGGGGATTTTTTCTATATTGAATTCATGCGTTATTATTCAGGGATTCCTTGAGTTGCGAATGGAGATTACATTTTCAATGATAAATCCTTGTTACATTAAATTTGTAACGGTAGCTGATTCCCCAGAATTATTAGGCACAGCACTCATCACTGAACATTGGATGCTGACCCTCACTGTTTAAATTGTTTAGCTGAAGTCTTCCGTTTAAGCATCCACGCCATTTGGTACGCCATCGTGTCACGTTCTTTCGTCCGTGCACGATTCTTAACTAGTTAGGCAATCATCTCGCACTCTGATTTCGTCTCGAAATATGATTGGTAATTTGGACGATCATTTCTGGTGTTTTGCTTTGTCTTTGGTTTACGCAAAACGAATACTATAGAAGTTGTGGATATTAGATCTTGCGTTATTATGCGGTGAGAGCAGACTGCTAGCCAATTGGTAGACATTAATCTACGCCAATGTCACTCCATGCTCCACTTTCATTTCATATGGGCTAAGAATTCGATAAATGTATTTTGAGAGTTTGTATGTTGGAGAGTTAGTAAAATCCACTACTGGACGTAATGGTACTTCTGGTTTGTGTATTTTTGGTAACCCATAAAATCTACAGGGGCTGCAACTTTTTGGAGCCAGAGTAAACCAAAGTGATACACCGAGCTTTTCTTTTATTGACTGTAGCATTTTGCTTGTTTCAGCCTTCAGCTTATTTAATGTCGCTCTTGACTTATTCGCGTTGAATTTTTCATAAGGTCCATCATTAAGATGATCAATGGCCTTCTTTTCGTAATCTGCAGAGTTCATGACAACTGTGATATTGCCTTTTATCTGCTCTTGTAATTACAATTGACTTATCTTGCTGTAGTTGTCTTAATGCCATTTGCTCTTTTTTATTTATATTCGGCGCATTTGGCTTCTGGTTCAGTAGTACTGCTGCAATTTTGTGCCTAATGACGTTTGCCTCTTCGGCTGTCACTGACTTTAACGATGGTTCAATTGCTGGGACTACTTCAAAGGCTGATAAACGCCTTTTGTTTAAATTGAAATTAAGTCCCTTTTTAAGGAGGGATAGTTCATCATCTGATAAATTTCTGTCAGAGAGATTGACCACCACTTTGTTCGCATCCAGACAGTTACGACTAGACGGATTTTCAAATTGATGGTTTTTAGGATTATTGCTTAATTGAAGCAACCTGTCGAACTTTCTGATTTGTCTTCTTTGTGAAGATTGAAGATAAAATTCTTCTTTAAATTTAAAAATGTTATCAATGAGAGACTTCAAATCTGATGTGACTAAGACAGATAAGATTTCATCTAAATTGGACATTCGAATAGGAAATAATTGCATATTTTTGGTTGCTCTGTGGACGCGTTCTCGTACAAACGTTCTAGTTGCGGAAAGAGCTGCTTTAATTGATCTGCTAGAGTTATCAGGTGATTTGACAGCTATGGATTTAGGATAGATATTCTGTTGCAGACAACGGAGATTGAAAATAAGATGATTGTACCAGTTACACATTTTCTTTGTCAGTTTAATACGATTGCAAAATAATTCATATGAACTGTGATCAAGATTTGATCGGATAGTTGCAAAATAATTGAGCGCTGAGTGAGAAGTAGACATTTATAAAGTTATATTTGTAAAATCTCAGCGAAATTGAAATGATTAATTCCAACGTTTCGTTCGGCAATCTGGTCCGAGCTTCTTCAGGGAAATTAATCGAAATTAACATAACAAAGTTTATATATAAAGGGACACATCTTGTTTTTAAAATTCTTGTCCAATCATGAATCATGCAACAGGTATCAACATGTATCATATATAAATAAATAGAATTGTATGTTTATACAAAAGTACAATAGTACAATCAATAGGTATGCTAAACAAAACAAAACAAAAATTGTATGAACTATGATCAAAAACGTTTTGACCTCAGGCTTTCAAAATTTGTCTACTTTTGTTAAAATATGTGTGTATGCAGTATATGCAGGATACAATGGTGTGTGTATGTGTGTGTGTGTGTGTGTGTGGGTTGGGTGGAACAGTCATCAAACATTTGCTATTCTCATATGAGCTGTGATCAAGATTTGACCGGATAGTTGCAAATAATTGACATTTTTATAAATATAATTTAATTTTTTATAGCTTTGTTATTCTCTCCATAAGAAGACGTAGACAGTCGGGAATTTGACTAAGTGTGACTACTTGATCATACATATCAAATTTTACTTTGTTTATTAGTCAGGATTTGCCATGCATCGGCTAAGATCACACCTTCACGTCTGTTAAACTGTTGGGATTCACCCATATATGTAGGGCTTCTGCAGTTAATCTTTCTTGATATGAACCAAAACCTTTTTGTAAAACCTTAGTCTTATCAAAGTCGATTTTGTGTCCCGTTTCTATTGAATGTAGCGCAATCGCTGAGTTGTTTTCTAGCTTCTTCAAGTCTGCAGAGCTCTTTGGAACCACCTTTAGACATTGTTTATGCTCTTTCATTCTTATATTTACCTGTCTAGAAGTTTCTCCTACATATACTGCGTTACAATCCCCACAATTGATCTGGTATACGCAATTCTGCTGGTTTTCTTGTTCTATTTTATCCTTAACCTTCACCAGCAATGAACGTAAGGTGTTAGATGCACGAAAGTACACTCTTATGTTATGTTCGTTAAGGATTCGCTTTATTTCATCGGACGTTTCTTTGCGGTAAGGAACCACCGCTGTACTAACCCAATTCTTCGCAGCAGGTTTTGATTTATCCTTATCTTCACATTTTAAGTATCTTTTTATGAAGGCTTTAGGATAATTATTTGACTCAAGAGTGGATTGGACCAATTTCAGTTCCTCGTTAATATCTTCCTCCTCAGTAACTAGACGTTTGGCTCTGTTGATCAGATTCTTGGCCACAGTTACTTTGGTGGTAAATGGGTGAGCTGAATGCTAATCTAGGTATCTATCCGAATTTGTCGGCTTTCTGAAAATGTTTATTTTAAATTTTCCGTCTAATTTTCTTTTTACTAAACAGTCCAGAAACGCCAACTCATTTTCATCGGATTCAACCTCTTTGGAGAACTTGATGGTTTCTGACATATTGTTTATTAACTGAAAAAGTTCATTTAACAATCTACGTTTGGTTATGATGAAGGTATCATCTACGTATCTTAACCACACCTTTGGGGGACTAAGGCATCTCATAATTGCATTTGTTTCTAATGAGTGCATAAACAGATTGGCGACTAGCGGAGATACTGGTGATCCCATAGCAATGCCTCCTATTTGACGATAAAGAACCCCTCTGAACGTAAATAACGTGGATTTAAGACACAGTTCTAATACCTTCATAATTTCGTCGGGATTTAAAGGACAACGATCACTGAGTTCGTCGTCAGCACAAAGTAAATTATAAATAATACTTAAAGAATCATTAACGGGTACATTCGTGAATAATGAATAAACATCGAAACTTGCCATTATTTCATCTTCTTCAATATTAGTCAAATTTATTTTCCTCTTAAATTCATACGAATTTTTCACTCCATGCTCCACTTTCATTTCATATGGGCTAAGAATTCGATAAATGTATTTTGAGAGTTTGTATGTTGGAGAGTTAGTAAAATCCACTACTGGACGTAATGGTACTTCTGGTTTGTGTATTTTTGGTAACCCATAAAATCTACAGGGGCTGCAACTTTTTGGAGCCAGAGTAAACCAAAGTGATACACCGAGCTTTTCTTTTATTGACTGTAGCATTTTGCTTGTTTCAGCCTTCAGCTTATTTAATGTCGCTCTTGACTTATTCGCGTTGAATTTTTCATAAGGTCCATCATTAAGATGATCAATGGCCTTCTTTTCGTAATCTGCAGAGTTCATGACAACTGTGATATTGCCTTTTATCTGCTCTTGTAATTACAATTGACTTATCTTGCTGTAGTTGTCTTAATGCCATTTGCTCTTTTTTATTTATATTCGGCGCATTTGGCTTCTGGTTCAGTAGTACTGCTGCAATTTTGTGCCTAATGACGTTTGCCTCTTCGGCTGTCACTGACTTTAACGATGGTTCAATTGCTGGGACTACTTCAAAGGCTGATAAACGCCTTTTGTTTAAATTGAAATTAAGTCCCTTTTTAAGGAGGGATAGTTCATCATCTGATAAATTTCTGTCAGAGAGATTGACCACCACTTTGTTCGCATCCAGACAGTTACGACTAGACGGATTTTCAAATTGATGGTTTTTAGGATTATTGCTTAATTGAAGCAACCTGTCGAACTTTCTGATTTGTCTTCTTTGTGAAGATTGAAGATAAAATTCTTCTTTAAATTTAAAAATGTTATCAATGAGAGACTTCAAATCTGATGTGACTAAGACAGATAAGATTTCATCTAAATTGGACATTCGAATAGGAAATAATTGCATATTTTTGGTTGCTCTGTGGACGCGTTCTCGTACAAACGTTCTAGTTGCGGAAAGAGCTGCTTTAATTGATCTGCTAGAGTTATCAGGTGATTTGACAGCTATGGATTTAGGATAGATATTCTGTTGCAGACAACGGAGATTGAAAATAAGATGATTGTACCAGTTACACATTTTCTTTGTCAGTTTAATACGATTGCAAAATAATTCATATGAACTGTGATCAAGATTTGATCGGATAGTTGCAAAATAATTGAGCGCTGAGTGAGAAGTAGACATTTATAAAGTTATATTTGTAAAATCTCAGCGAAATTGAAATGATTAATTCCAACGTTTCGTTCGGCAATCTGGTCCGAGCTTCTTCAGGGAAATTAATCGAAATTAACATAACAAAGTTTATATATAAAGGGACACATCTTGTTTTTAAAATTCTTGTCCAATCATGAATCATGCAACAGGTATCAACATGTATCATATATAAATAAATAGAATTGTATGTTTATACAAAAGTACAATAGTACAATCAATAGGTATGCTAAACAAAACAAAACAAAAATTGTATGAACTATGATCAAAAACTTTTGACCTCAGGCTTTCAAAATTTGTCTACTTTTGTTAAAATATGTGTGTATGCAGTATATGCAGGATACAATGGTGTGTGTATGTGTGTGTGTGTGTGTGTGGGTTGGGTGGAACAGTCATCAAACATTTGCTATTCTCATATGAGCTGTGATCAAGATTTGACCGGATAGTTGCAAATAATTGACATTTTTATAAATATAATTTAATTTTTTATAGCTTTGTTATTCTCTCCATAAGAAGACGTAGACAGTCGGGAATTTGACTAAGTGTGACTACTTGATCATACATATCAAATTTTACTTTGTTTATTAGTCAGGATTTGCCATGCATCGGCTAAGATCACACCTTCACGTCTGTTAAACTGTTGGGATTCACCCATATATGTAGGGCTTCTGCAGTTAATCTTTCTTGATATGAACCAAAACCTTTTTGTAAAACCTTAGTCTTATCAAAGTCGATTTTGTGTCCCGTTTCTATTGAATGTAGCGCAATCGCTGAGTTGTTTTCTAGCTTCTTCAAGTCTGCAGAGCTCTTTGGAACCACCTTTAGACATTGTTTATGCTCTTTCATTCTTATATTTACCTGTCTAGAAGTTTCTCCTACATATACTGCGTTACAATCCCCACAATTGATCTGGTATACGCAATTCTGCTGGTTTTCTTGTTCTATTTTATCCTTAACCTTCACCAGCAATGAACGTAAGGTGTTAGATGCACGAAAGTACACTCTTATGTTATGTTCGTTAAGGATTCGCTTTATTTCATCGGACGTTTCTTTGCGGTAAGGAACCACCGCTGTACTAACCCAATTCTTCGCAGCAGGTTTTGATTTATCCTTATCTTCACATTTTAAGTATCTTTTTATGAAGGCTTTAGGATAATTATTTGACTCAAGAGTGGATTGGACCAATTTCAGTTCCTCGTTAATATCTTCCTCCTCAGTAACTAGACGTTTGGCTCTGTTGATCAGATTCTTGGCCACAGTTACTTTGGTGGTAAATGGGTGAGCTGAATGCTAATCTAGGTATCTATCCGAATTTGTCGGCTTTCTGAAAATGTTTATTTTAAATTTTCCGTCTAATTTTCTTTTTACTAAACAGTCCAGAAACGCCAACTCATTTTCATCGGATTCAACCTCTTTGGAGAACTTGATGGTTTCTGACATATTGTTTATTAACTGAAAAAGTTCATTTAACAATCTACGTTTGGTTATGATGAAGGTATCATCTACGTATCTTAACCACACCTTTGGGGGACTAAGGCATCTCATAATTGCATTTGTTTCTAATGAGTGCATAAACAGATTGGCGACTAGCGGAGATACTGGTGATCCCATAGCAATGCCTCCTATTTGACGATAAAGAACCCCTCTGAACGTAAATAACGTGGATTTAAGACACAGTTCTAATACCTTCATAATTTCGTCGGGATTTAAAGGACAACGATCACTGAGTTCGTCGTCAGCACAAAGTAAATTATAAATAATACTTAAAGAATCATTAACGGGTACATTCGTGAATAATGAATAAACATCGAAACTTGCCATTATTTCATCTTCTTCAATATTAGTCAAATTTATTTTCCTCTTAAATTCATACGAATTTTTCACTCCATGCTCCACTTTCATTTCATATGGGCTAAGAATTCGATAAATGTATTTTGAGAGTTTGTATGTTGGAGAGTTAGTAAAATCCACTACTGGACGTAATGGTACTTCTGGTTTGTGTATTTTTGGTAACCCATAAAATCTACAGGGGCTGCAACTTTTTGGAGCCAGAGTAAACCAAAGTGATACACCGAGCTTTTCTTTTATTGACTGTAGCATTTTGCTTGTTTCAGCCTTCAGCTTATTTAATGTCGCTCTTGACTTATTCGCGTTGAATTTTTCATAAGGTCCATCATTAAGATGATCAATGGCCTTCTTTTCGTAATCTGCAGAGTTCATGACAACTGTGATATTGCCTTTTATCTGCTCTTGTAATTACAATTGACTTATCTTGCTGTAGTTGTCTTAATGCCATTTGCTCTTTTTTATTTATATTCGGCGCATTTGGCTTCTGGTTCAGTAGTACTGCTGCAATTTTGTGCCTAATGACGTTTGCCTCTTCGGCTGTCACTGACTTTAACGATGGTTCAATTGCTGGGACTACTTCAAAGGCTGATAAACGCCTTTTGTTTAAATTGAAATTAAGTCCCTTTTTAAGGAGGGATAGTTCATCATCTGATAAATTTCTGTCAGAGAGATTGACCACCACTTTGTTCGCATCCAGACAGTTACGACTAGACGGATTTTCAAATTGATGGTTTTTAGGATTATTGCTTAATTGAAGCAACCTGTCGAACTTTCTGATTTGTCTTCTTTGTGAAGATTGAAGATAAAATTCTTCTTTAAATTTAAAAATGTTATCAATGAGAGACTTCAAATCTGATGTGACTAAGACAGATAAGATTTCATCTAAATTGGACATTCGAATAGGAAATAATTGCATATTTTTGGTTGCTCTGTGGACGCGTTCTCGTACAAACGTTCTAGTTGCGGAAAGAGCTGCTTTAATTGATCTGCTAGAGTTATCAGGTGATTTGACAGCTATGGATTTAGGATAGATATTCTGTTGCAGACAACGGAGATTGAAAATAAGATGATTGTACCAGTTACACATTTTCTTTGTCAGTTTAATACGATTGCAAAATAATTCATATGAACTGTGATCAAGATTTGATCGGATAGTTGCAAAATAATTGAGCGCTGAGTGAGAAGTAGACATTTATAAAGTTATATTTGTAAAATCTCAGCGAAATTGAAATGATTAATTCCAACGTTTCGTTCGGCAATCTGGTCCGAGCTTCTTCAGGGAAATTAATCGAAATTAACATAACAAAGTTTATATATAAAGGGACACATCTTGTTTTTAAAATTCTTGTCCAATCATGAATCATGCAACAGGTATCAACATGTATCATATATAAATAAATAGAATTGTATGTTTATACAAAAGTACAATAGTACAATCAATAGGTATGCTAAACAAAACAAAACAAAAATTGTATGAACTATGATCAAAAACTTTTGACCTCAGGCTTTCAAAATTTGTCTACTTTTGTTAAAATATGTGTGTATGCAGTATATGCAGGATACAATGGTGTGTGTATGTGTGTGTGTGTGTGTGTGTGGGTTGGGTGGAACAGTCATCAAACATTTGCTATTCTCATATGAGCTGTGATCAAGATTTGACCGGATAGTTGCAAATAATTGACATTTTTATAAATATAATTTAATTTTTTATAGCTTTGTTATTCTCTCCATAAGAAGACGTAGACAGTCGGGAATTTGACTAAGTGTGACTACTTGATCATACATATCAAATTTTACTTTGTTTATTAGTCAGGATTTGCCATGCATCGGCTAAGATCACACCTTCACGTCTGTTAAACTGTTGGGATTCACCCATATATGTAGGGCTTCTGCAGTTAATCTTTCTTGATATGAACCAAAACCTTTTTGTAAAACCTTAGTCTTATCAAAGTCGATTTTGTGTCCCGTTTCTATTGAATGTAGCGCAATCGCTGAGTTGTTTTCTAGCTTCTTCAAGTCTGCAGAGCTCTTTGGAACCACCTTTAGACATTGTTTATGCTCTTTCATTCTTATATTTACCTGTCTAGAAGTTTCTCCTACATATACTGCGTTACAATCCCCACAATTGATCTGGTATACGCAATTCTGCTGGTTTTCTTGTTCTATTTTATCCTTAACCTTCACCAGCAATGAACGTAAGGTGTTAGATGCACGAAAGTACACTCTTATGTTATGTTCGTTAAGGATTCGCTTTATTTCATCGGACGTTTCTTTGCGGTAAGGAACCACCGCTGTACTAACCCAATTCTTCGCAGCAGGTTTTGATTTATCCTTATCTTCACATTTTAAGTATCTTTTTATGAAGGCTTTAGGATAATTATTTGACTCAAGAGTGGATTGGACCAATTTCAGTTCCTCGTTAATATCTTCCTCCTCAGTAACTAGACGTTTGGCTCTGTTGATCAGATTCTTGGCCACAGTTACTTTGGTGGTAAATGGGTGAGCTGAATGCTAATCTAGGTATCTATCCGAATTTGTCGGCTTTCTGAAAATGTTTATTTTAAATTTTCCGTCTAATTTTCTTTTTACTAAACAGTCCAGAAACGCCAACTCATTTTCATCGGATTCAACCTCTTTGGAGAACTTGATGGTTTCTGACATATTGTTTATTAACTGAAAAAGTTCATTTAACAATCTACGTTTGGTTATGATGAAGGTATCATCTACGTATCTTAACCACACCTTTGGGGGACTAAGGCATCTCATAATTGCATTTGTTTCTAATGAGTGCATAAACAGATTGGCGACTAGCGGAGATACTGGTGATCCCATAGCAATGCCTCCTATTTGACGATAAAGAACCCCTCTGAACGTAAATAACGTGGATTTAAGACACAGTTCTAATACCTTCATAATTTCGTCGGGATTTAAAGGACAACGATCACTGAGTTCGTCGTCAGCACAAAGTAAATTATAAATAATACTTAAAGAATCATTAACGGGTACATTCGTGAATAATGAATAAACATCACACTTTCATATCTGTTCAAACTTTTGGTATGTAGAATCTTATGATTAGACGTATTTTCAAAATTATGGTGTTTAGTATTAGAGTTTAGTTGAAGCACCCTGTCAAACTCATGACTTTGTCTTCTTTCTGAAAATTGAGCTGATTTATTCGACCTACTGGAGTTGTCAGTTGACTGGACAGCTACGGATTTAGGGTACGCATTCTGTTGCAGACAACGGAGAGTGGAAACACGATGATTGTGCCAATTACATAGTTTCTTTGTTAATTTAATTCGATTGCAAAATAAATCAAATGAACTGTAGTCAAGATTTGACAGAATAGTTCTAAAAAATTTGGGCGCCGAGTGAGAAGTAGACATTTGTAAAAAATTATATTTGTAAAATCTCAACGATATTGAAATGAGTAATTCCAACGTTTCGTTCGGCAATCTGGTCCGAACTTCTTCAGGGAAATTAATCGAAATTAACATAACAGAGGTTTATATATAAAAGGAACATCTCTTATTTTTAAAAACTTTGTCCAATCATGAGTCATAAAACAGGCATCAACATGTACAATAAACAAAATTGTATGAGTTGTGATCAAAATTTGACCTCAGACTTACAAATATTGATCTACCTTTGTTAAACACTTTAAACACAGTGTGTATGTGTGCGGATAAACAGTTGTAAAACAATGTCTTAACGTCTCCATAAGTAGATATAGACAGTCAGGAACTTTGATCAAGTATTATTAGTTAGTGATACATATCCATTCTTATTTATTAATCAGGATTTCCTATGCGTCAGCTAACATCACACCTTCATGTCTGTTCAAACTGTTAGTATCTAGAATCTTATGATTAGACGTATTTTCAAAATTATGGTGTTTAGGATTAGAGTTTAGTTGAAGCACCCTGTCAAACTCATGACTTTGTCTTCTTTCTGAAAATTGAGCTGATTTATTCGACCTACTGGAGTTGTCAGTTGACTGGACAGCTACGGATTTAGGGTACGCATTCTGTTGCAGACAACGGTGAGTGGAAACACGATGATTGTGCCAATTACATAGTTTCTTTGTTAATTTAATTCGATTGCAAAATAAATCAAATGAACTGTAGTCAAGATTTGACAGAATAGTTCTAAAAAATTTGGGCGCCGAGTGAGAAGTAGACATTTGTAAAAAATTATATTTGTAAAATCTCAACGATATTGAAATGAGTAATTCCAACGTTTCGTTCGGCAATCTGGTCCGAACTTCTTCAGGGAAATTAATCGAAATTAACATAACAGAGGTTTATATATAAAAGGAACATCTCTTATTTTTAAAAACTTTGTCCAATCATGAGTCATAAAACAGGCATCAACATGTACAATAAACAAAATTGTATGAGTTGTGATCAAGTGGAGCGCGCTTTTTGACTAGTGGGTTACTTTTCGCTGTGTTATATAAAACTCTCATTTCTTTGTTGTTGCTCACCAAAAAGTTCTGGAAATTATTGCAATCCGTTTACTTTCGGACACTTAACCTCTGGATATAATATCATCGACTACTAATATCTATAACAAAGTTTTTGACATATGTGACTATTAACAATAACTCATATCTATGATTGTATATATTGTTGGATTTATATGTTCAAGTTGGTCCAAGTCAGTGTGTCTGTGGTTTTGGTATCATTTTAGTTAACTGTGCTGAACTATATTGCATGTTGTTGTATTGTATCGTTGTCGCTTTTTGCTGTGAATTGTTTTCCTCTTGCTGTGTTGTTTTGATTGTTTTATCCCGTTTTCCGATTTTAAGGAGAGCAACCCGAAAGGTCGCTTCTCTCTAAACTTTATGGTGACTCTAAAGAATAGCGGCCCAAACCGAAACGACCTTTCAACGCAAAAATGACCTTGACAGGGACAACTTCGGCCAATGAGAAGGCTCAAAAAGAAAGGCGCATAATTGTAAAAAACGGTTTATATAAAAGGAATGCAATCATAATAGACAGTTACAAAGAATGGCGTTCGCGTATATGTTGCAAAAAACCTTTCAGTTTCTCATGGGAGTCTTCATAGTCATACGAAGCCAGTTTCGGTACATAAATTCATCCAGGAGACTGTAAACCATGGGATTTCTCGATCCATTAACCGCTCTTATACGTCTTTTTAGACGACTCCAAAAACTTTCAATGGAACTGGTGCGGGTTCCATCCAAAGGATTCCGGAAACCGTCCGTATGATTCACAACATGATGAATGTACCCATGATTCGATAATTGACGGTATCCGCTCCATTCATCTGTTTGAATAGTCGTCCCCGGAAACACCAAACGCTTATTAATAGGTACTAATACTGCTGCACTGCGATTGGGAATCGCTTCTATATACCCTTTGCTCAGTATCGTGTCGTAGATACCCAGTATCCACTGCTGGTTTGCTTGCAATCTCCCGCGGTTGTATTTCCTTTTTATAAGTAAAGTCTCATCAATATGGACTATGCTGCCGACTCCCCCGAGAACTTGAGTCAGGGTGTTCATTTTCCAGGAGGAAACTTCTCTGCAGTAGTTGTACCATT